GATTTTTTAGCAGTGACTATACCTATATATATATGCCCATGTGGGGTGTGGAAGTTACTGGATACAAAGTTGTTTTCTCAGTGAGATCTTTGGCGTGGTGGAGGACCGAGAAGCAGTATGCATGCTTGTTTTGGCCTCTGTCTCTACATATGTGCATGCTTGCAATGTGATAATTTGTGGTATTTCTGAGATGTCCCTGCCCATTCTCTTTGGAAGGGCTCTTCTAAGCAAGGATAGACACTGCTGGCACTTTGAGGCCAGATACATCATGTTCTCTAGTGCTTGGTGTTGAGACAGGTTGACAGCCACAGTGCCTGCCCTACCTCTTCCCTATCACACTGGCCCATCTGTGTTCCCCTTCCCATCACTCATGGTGATACTACGGGAGGAGAGGGGAAGTGTAGTTGAGACCAGACCCTGCTCCCTCCACTCAGGATCCTTACTTACACCATCACATAACCACTGTGATCAAGGCTGCATCCAACATTCACATCCCTGACCAGTTCATCCCTTTTCCAAGTATCAGGTCCAGCAAAGCCCTTTTCCTTGTTGCCTTCTTCATCACCTGTGCCAGGAAGTCATCACCTACAAATCTCCTAGGCTGCTTGTGCCCTGCTGTATTGTCCTTCCAGCAGATATCAGTGTCAACTTTGAGCAGCGAGCAATCCTTAAAATATCCCAGGAGGTGACAATCGGTTGACGCGTGTGCGCACCGGGTGCCAGGAGGCATCGCCTAGTGCAGCACATGAGCCAGTTGGAAACAGCTGATTTGCTTCCTCAGTGAGAAATTGCTCCCTGAAGAGAATGGGCAGGAGAGGCCAGCTTTCCTGTAGTGCCAACGGGGACCACTGGCATCTCCTTCTGAGTGCCACCAGTGTTTGTACCAACAGCAGCTCTGCAGACTAATTGTGGTGTTACCAGCAGCACCTCTCGCCCGCTGGGACAGAGCTCCCCGTTACTCAGCAAAGACTCTGGGGTGGGAGCTGGGACAGCTGAGGGAGGAGGTGTCCACAGCCTGCTCCATCAAGTCACTGCATCCCTCCTGTGCACATCCCCACAAAGTGGATGCTGCTGCTGCAGAGGTCCCAGCAGGCAGCACCGGCTGGGCTCTCCACTGAGGACATGCAGCAGCAAGAAATCACAGAATCATTAAGGTTGGAAAAGACCTTTAAGATCATCAAGTCCAACCATCAACCCAACACCACCATGCCCACTAAACCATGTCCCCAAGTGCCACATCCACATGTTTTTTGAACACTTCCAGGGATGGTGACTCCACCACCTCCCTGGGCAGCCTGTTCCAATGTTTGACCACTCTCTCAGTAAAGAATTTTTTCCTAATATCCCATTTAAACCTCCCCTGGCGCAACTTGAGGCCATTTCCTCTCATCCTATCGCTGGTTAGTTGGGAGAAGAGACCAACACTCTCGTCGCCACAACCCCCTTTCAGGTAGTTGTAGAGAGCGATAAGGGCTCCTCTCAGCCTCCTCTTCTCCAGACTAAACAACCCCAGTTCCCTCAGCCGCTCCTCATCAGACTTGTGCTCCAGACCCCTCACCAGCTTTGTTGCCCCTCAATCACATAGGGGATGCCAAATTTCTTCCACCAAAGCCAGAACTCAGAAATGGTGGTGGTGGTCTTTAACCCAAAGGCTTTGCAGGCTTGGTCACAGATTGAGCAGGGTTTGCAGCTCCTTGTGATCACCATGGTTGATGCTCCGTCTGTGGGCACTGGGCTGTACCAGAAACTGCAAATGTTGCCGGGACCAGCTTTGGATCTGGCAAATTGCCCTCACAGTATGAACAATGTCTGAGGAGGAATGACAGCAGCTCAACACGCTGTAAACGCTGCACGCAGTTCCTGGGACAGTCTCCAATCCTCGCAAGTTCCAGAAATCAAATTCCAGGAAGAACGGGAGCTAGTCAGGTTAATGACCCTCCTTAATGATTCTGTGACTCTGTGATTCGATGATTAATGGGGAATGAAGTGTTAGAGTGGTTGGGAAATTCCATTCTTCTGATTTTCATCCCAGATTTATTTATCTCCTGATTTGTTAGAGAGGAAGCACTACCTAGGCACGCATTAATACAGGCATCAGAAATAAATCTGGGCTGCAAATCAGAAGGGATTTCCCAACCGTTAGATAACGAGGTCTCTCCAGGTAGTGCAGCAGCCTGAACAGCAAGTACTGCTCAGAGCTGGGTCCCCTCTGCGGGTCCCCCATGCCTTTGCGCCTGGGCGCAGCAAACTAACAAAGGTTCTCTGCTTGTTGCAGTATGCCTGCGAGATCTCCCGGCAGTGTTGCCTCCAAGGTGTCATTTTTCCCTAGGTCCCACTGATGCCCACAACGGAGAAGAAGGACCATTCCTATCTCTTGTGTTCATGCTCTGAGACTCAATGAACTGCAGAAATAGAGATCAAAACCACCATTGCTATATTTAGAACTATTTTCCCACCCCTTCTCAGTGAACTGGAGCAGAGCTGCAGCCAGTGGTGATGAAAGGGCTGTGGGGTCACCAAGCAGAGGGATGGGTGCCCAGCAGGGAGAGGGGTTGTCGGTGGCAGTGATGGAGGGACAAATCTTTGGGGGAGAGAGCAATCTGGCATCAGTACACCTGCACGGGCGTGCATGCCAGTGTATTCTGTCCAAACAAATAATTGCAGAGGAGCACTTTGTTATTGCAAACAAGAACGCTGGGGCTTTGGAAGTGCTCTTTTCTTGGCATGCTGTCTGGAAACAGAAACCATACCACGTCCTTCAGGGAGTCACCGTGTGGCATGATTAGTAGATATGAAACAAGCACTCTGCAAATGGGCCAGAAGATTTTTGATTAAAAGAAAACCTTTGTAATTTAGAAAATGAATACTGACATCAAATAACCTGAAATCTATGAAAAAAGGCAGTACAAATTAATCTGTTGTTCTGGTATGCACCTGGATTTTTATATTGGTTCCATGAAAGTTATTCTTTGAATTTTGCAGATGAAGAAGTTGAGCACCAGCCTGGGGACTGTGAAAACTTTTTCTAAGCATCACACAAGCAAGAAATAAAACATGGGTTGCTAAGACAAATTCACCTCCTTTTGGCTTTGTTTTGAAACAAACATCAGCTTTCTCAGCTGAGTGAAGGAGAGATTTGTTCTGTTAATGGTGCTGGAGTGTGTTTGCTTTGTGAACATGGAATTAAATGTGGATGTTGTTAAAATGCCATATACAAGCATGGTGCAAAGTGTATTGAAATTGCACAGCCTCGTAATTTTTCCTGGGAACATCTGCACTGGGACAATCTGGGGATAAAACTAAGATAAGCTCCCAGTGCACTCTGAGGTGGTGGTGTTTCCTGCTTGAAAAGGTGAGGGTGCTCCGGGGCTTGGGCTGAAGAAGGGAGATATTTGCTTCTCAGACAGCTGAGATCATAAAATCATAGAATCTTTGGGTGGGAAGGGACCTTTCAGGGCCATCTAGTCCAACCCCCTGCCATGAGCAGGGACATCCCCAACTCGAGCAGGTTGCTCAGAGCCCCGTCCAGCCTGACCTGGGGTGTTCCCAGGGATGGGGCATCCACCACCTCTCTGGGCAACCTGGGACAGGGCTTCACCACCCTCAGTGTGACACGTTTCTGCCGTAGATCTAGTCTGAATCTCCCCTCTTTTGTTTAGAACGGTTACCCCTTGCCACGTTGCTACAGGCCCTGCTAAAAAGTCTGTCCCCATCTCTCTCCCCAGCCCCTCTCACCCCGGCAGCTGCACTAAGGTCTCCCCGGAGCCTTCTCTGCTCCAGGCTGAGCCCCCCCAGCTCTCCCAGCCTGGCCTCCCAGCAGAGCTGTTCCAGCCCTCGGAGCGTTGCTGGGGCCTCTTCTGGCCCAGTTCCAGCAGGTCCGTGTCTCTCCTGTGCCGAGGGCTCCAGAGCTGGACGCAGCACTGCAGGGGGGTCTCCCCAGAGCGGGGCAGAGGGGCAGAACCCCCTCCCT